TGTGTATTTCGATTAGTAATGGAACATAAATCCAGAAATATAATAATGTAGGTGAGTATAATTTAAAGTGTGGTGTGTCGACCAAAATAAATCATATAATTAGTTATGGTAGGCAGGATAGCGGTTGTAAAAGAGTTGAAAATTTGCTTGAAGTAGTGAAAGGTATGATATAGTCATTTTATTGAATCGGATCATACCTATACATATCAGTTACAGAAACACACACCAACTGACCATTCACCTTATCCCAACTCCAAAATAGCAAAAATCCTCATTATACAGGGTGATTCCTAAGTTGATACTTTTAGAACTCGTTAAATTAAACAACTTCCTCAAATAACTTTTTTCCAAAAATGTAAAAACGTCACAGACGATAAGATTTCCACAAAATTCTCAAACACACGATATGCTTCGCTAACACAGTAGCTCCGTCAGATGATGAACTGATAAAATGAACTAAACTAACCTTGGCTTGCTTAACATTTATATATCCTACTTTCCCAACCTGAAGGATTAGTAGTTACCTGTGGACAGGTTCGATAAACCATCATTTTCGGAAATTAGGCACAATATCTACATTAAAATACGGTTCACCAATCCATTTTTCGGGAAATTGTCTGGATAAAAACGCACGAACTTCTCTGGAATTATGTGCCGGAGCGCCATCTTGTTGAAACCAACAGTTGTCAACTTCAGCAATCGATAATTTATCCAGAGCTTCCTCAAGAAGATTCTCAAGCGAATTTCCATAACGTTAAGAAGTCAATGTTTCATGGTAAATAAAAGGACCATTAATTCGTGTACCAAATATTGCAACCCACATATCAAAGCCGAAACAGTGTCGGTGTCTCGCTGTTTTGTATGAATATTCATTTCCTCGTGACCAATAATGTGTATTTTTTCTATTGACTATTCCACTCTTGATCTCGAGAACCAATCAGAATCGACCATTTTCATGGTTTCTTCTGTATTCTAGCGATATTTTTTGTTTATTAAATTTTATCGGACTTGCTCTACCAATACAGAAGCCGAATTGACCCACACGTGACCAACTAACCTCGTTTATCGGCGATAAAATTTTGACATCGTGTCTGGTCAAGATTGCTTTGGATTCATATCTGAGACAATCACCTAAGTTCCTACTTTATTTTATTTACTGATAATTCGCGTTAGTGAGATATTTTGTACGAAAGGCGAGACAATTTTATTCTGGCTGGACGTTTCATGTGTAATTTAAAAAGTTTGCCCATTGTTGACGGTCTGACACTCTGACACAAAAATAATAGAATTCAAATTCCTTTTTGAAGTAATCTTCTTCAATTACTCAAGTTATTGTGACTGACTGATTTAATTACTAACTGATGTAGCGCAACTGATAGGGTTGTTGCGCGAGGATACAAAGGTCGGTGGTTCGAGCCCTCGGCGACGATATCTTTTTTTTTATTATTCCATGTCACATAAATTCAATTTATTTTGTTTGAATTGGATAGTAATTGTATACACTCTTTTGAAAGCAACCATCTCCAAGATAATAAAAAAAATACTGTTTATCAAAATTGTACCTACATTCCACTTTGTGAATAACTATAAATAGGTAGTTAATTTCTAAAAGAGTAAATTCTGTATTTCATTACTATCATTATGTTCTTCTTCGCAGTTCGATTTGGAATATACTTAAATTATGTTTCCTATTTCTTATATATATTGTATCATTCAATCATGAAATAGTCATACGAATACAACTCGTGATACTATTTTTCCTGGAAATGTTCGTCGATTGACATACTCCAGCTTGCTGCTCTAATTTCGCTCATGACATTGATCCAAAACTACTCGCCTACGGCTCGTAGTTTTAATAACAATGTCATTCACGAAATTACTAGGCAACAAGCTGTCGTAACAATCACCGAATATTTCCGGCAAAATATTATCACTTGTGGTATTACATATGAAAATACCATTATAAGTGATCATGCTTTCATCACTCCAGATGATTTTTCGAGGGAAATCTTCAAAATGTTGACATTTCCTGGTAAACCACAGGATGAGGGTTGCTTGGCTGTGTGCACGTGTATATACCAAGAAGTGTTGTTTTATCTTGCACGAAATACAACACTTAACTTCTTTGGTATACCACAGAATGTCCTGCGCCTTTCGTGATCTTCTGGTGTTAGCGCTTGACATATTCTGAAGTTGTATGGATGGAATTTTTGTTTCCGCAAAATGAAATGGGCTGTTGTTTGGGACCAGTTGATGAAGTATTAGTCTGTTGACCAATTTTCTTCCAAAATAAGTGGAACTGATTGCATTTTTCGTTTGGAAAAAACATTGATGATGCCTTAAAATAGGTCGAAACACATTCAAGCCACCTTGTATAATTCATGGTTGAATTCAGAATGAAAAAAGCTTTCAGAATCTGTGAGAGAGTTATCAGGACCGTATTTAAAAAACAAAAGTTGATGATGGTTCTACGAATACGAAACGTCGCATGAAAAAATCGGTCTTACCTCGTTAAACGTCATCAAAAGTTGCTACAAAAAAGTATTTTCAGTTCTTCTGTATCTCTAATGATAACTTTTTTCCGATATAACTGAGAAACTAAAAATAATTTTGAAAATGTTTGAAGGCTGTTGATATGAGCCTCCGAATGCGCAACTTTTTCCCCATTCAACCGACTTCGTATCTCCTAACCTTTTCGAAATCTCCATGCTGTGCAACCTTATATTGGACAGACTGTATATTTCATTATACAGGCTGATTTTAAAATGAGTGCATATATTCAAGACATATATAGGAGAGAGTCTAACAAAAATTACTAAAATATTTGATTTTTCCTAAGTCTTCACATTAACGAGAAATTTCATTTTGGAAAATTGAACATAAAATGCTTCGAAATTCGAGTACGCCACTGGGAAGCAAGTGAAATCTGCGGAATCCCAGGAAATCCCCAATTCGTCATTCACTAAAGTCAAAACAAGACAGTGATGCCAGATTGTTTCAGAGACGAATATCCTGATAAAAATTTGTCACAGAATGAATATGAATTGAAATAGGTTATGGAAACTAATAGAGGTGAATGTAATATGTACAGGAGCCTTATTTTTTAAAGTTTACTGAGAGAATTGTGGGGTGATTATCTCCATGGATCACGAGAGACGGAGAGAAACATGAGGGGAATAATAGAACGTCCCCCTTCCTTCAATTCGAAAATAAGGCCCCAGCGGGTAGATACAAAATTAGCAGACAATAAATAGGTACACAACATACACAAAGTTGAAAATCGACTCACCTAGTAGATTTTCTCATACCTGCTCGAACAGCAAAACTCCCGAGAGCAAACAAATACTAATATCGAGTCCATTCCAGACTAATATCGTCCTGTGTTCTTGTTGGTTCATATTCGCACTCAAACCATCGAAAACGACTCGACGACGACATATCCTTCCTGGCAATCTCACATTGAAAATCACCATCACGACCATATCACGATTATCACGACACAAGACACAACATCCAATTATTTTATTTTTTATTTTACGTTTACAATTATTTTACAAACCAGCAACCAGTCAACCACACAAACAAAACTATTATCATATGATCTGTCAACATCATTTCTCAGAACAGTAGTATCTGTGACCATAGATTTCCTCTTTGCTGTGACCTTTGACAGTACTAACTAGGATTGTTCGCGTTCAGAAAATAAACAATCCAAAACCGTCAGAAGCATGCACAAGTCCACAGAACCCAAAAAAATCATACATTTCTGTGAAACTGCGCATGCTTCTGACAGTTTCGGACGCAAGAATTCAGATGACCATGAATTACTAATAGGCGATTTCTACGGACCAATCAGAAACAGCAAAGTAGCGCCTGCGTGGTTGCGATTCATCCTGATTGGACACAGCTGATTGGATTTGTGAGATTAGTGTTCAGTGAGGAAGTATCATTTCATTAAATTAAACTAATTGATGTTTTTTCCAAATTAGTTTTTAATGAAAATGGTAGTTTCATTTAAATATATGATCCTTCCTCACTAATACATTAATCTCAATCACCTGTGCCCAATCAGGATGAATCGCAACCACGCAGGCACTACTTTGCTGTTTCTGATTGGTCCGTAAAAGTCGCCTATTAGTAATTCATGGTCATCTGAATTCTTGCTGGTAGCACACCATAAGAACAATCAAAACAAAGATCCTTTCTTGACAGTTTGTTGTTCTGAGAATGTATGTTATTTTAGAAAACGTCAAAACGTGATACTAGTAAATGTAAACAGTGTGGTCCTTGTCATTACTTTTGTAATAGATCTATTACTATTCCACGGAGATTGTTACGATTTGTCATGAATCTATTACTATTGGGTGTTAGCACCAAAATATGATGTTTTGTTACTGTTAGCACCAAAATATGATGTTTTGTTACTAAAAAATCTATTTCTGTGTTCAGCCGATAATTATAACATAACATTGAGCTGAATGATATGGTTCTTATGTCGGGTCGTTATTGTGCGGGGCCCATGAGACTCCTCGAAGACCACGAAATTGTAGCGATGCAAGGAGGTGGAAGGAAGGGTCTAAAGGATTTTTCAGTAAAATAACTTCCAACCGTGAGGTGTTAAGTTATACGCTATTCGAGCTTATGTGTAGAAATCTTGGCTGAGTCCATTTTGAAGTTTTTGTATTATCTTTCTGAAATTCAAGACCAGGGTTAACTTCTTCCCCATGTACATTTTCTCGATTATACATTTTATTTAATATCTCTTAATTTTCATATAGAGTGGCAACGTCGCTTCGTTCATCACGGTCGACTGCGGATCGCAAACGATAGTTGTGACAGAAGTAGAAATCTGGGCGGAAAAAGGGTATTTTGCCCCAAATCTATTTTGATCCTAATAATATTTTTAATAGTGCTATTCGGTAGTATACCTCAAGCTTTCTTAGTGTTTAAAATATATGCACTTATTTTAAAATCAGCCTGTATTTGGGTAGTACACTCACCTATTGATGGCCTTATTATGCAAACTGGTATATTGTCCTTTTCATCGGCTACCAGATTTTCCGCAAGCCTCTTGGTATAAGTGTACGTGTTGGGGTGGGGGGCTATGATTGCGGGGGTGGCCAAGTCTAGAGCTTCCGGATTCAGCCAGCTGCAAATGTCGATGACGTCACGGGGGTCGTCTTTGGCCTCGTACACCTGAATAGACGAAAATACAGGGCTTTCCACTTCCACCAAATTAGGAAACAGATTTCCTTGCCGACAGAAATAGATATTTACGTAATCAGTTAGGAAACGCGTTGTTTTGTGTAACAATGGGATTTTGCGGGACGAGCGAAGCGAAGCGACTAATATCATTTTCCGGAAATTGGGGTAGTTTCATGGCTGTTGGCGAGCAGTGTATATCACTGAAGATGACCCCACTTGGTCATAGAGTGCATTTTTGGTATATCTCTCGCTCCAGCAAATTTCAGGATCCTTACCCAACGATTACGTAAGATAGAGGGGTGGTTCCATTAGAAGTGGGTCACACTGTATATTGATTTTACGCGATCCCCAAACGTAATGCAAACTGAAATATGATCAGCACGCAGGATTCCTCTTTCAACCCGCTTTCCAATGAGGGGTCGCAAGCCATAGGGTTGCATTCGAAAAATACATGTTGGGGTTGATTCTAGCAACCCCTGAAGGGATATATTCTCCATATTGCGCGCCAAATGGCATAAAGTGTTGAAATAAGACAGATGTGAAATTGCCTGGAATATCAACCAAATCAAAGCCAACGCCAACGTTTCCATATGGTTCCAAAAGGACTTGAAGAAGAAATAATGATTCCAAGTGAATTTGAGTCCACTAGATTCACACTCAAACTCGTTCGTCTATAGGACGGCAAAGCTGTGGAATTATTTGGCAATTGAAGTATTCCCAAGAACTTATATAACCTTCAAAAGTTGAGAAAAATCCCAACAACTACCTCCTCTTTCTATCCTCCCTAGGTACGTAAGAGATGAAAAAAATATGAATTCTAATAGGTACAGTTCAAGCAAAACATGATGAAATATTCACGTCTGCGGCGAAGTTTTTGTTTTTTCTTGGTCGCCGTTTCCTGAGATACGAAGCTATCGACACGTCAATGGCTACTCACCCTTTCTTCGAATTCAGCCACATCGGCAGAACAAAAAGCCGTGCTGTAATGCGCGAAGGCTGCCAGGTGCTTCATCTTCTTGCTGACGTCTATCACTCGGGCAGTGCCAGCCGTGTTCTGATCAACGGCGTCTCTCAGTTTGGCATCAAGCTTCAAAGTGGCCGCCATGTGGAACACCACCGACACTTCTTCGACGAGCAGCTCCAAGTCGGAGGACTTCAGGCCCAGGCAGTCGGTGTTGACGTCACCGGAAACCGGGACGATCTTCTTCATGGCGTCCGGTTGGGACTGCCTCAGGCGTTCGAACATCTGGAAGAAATTGAGAGAAAGATGAAGACATTCAGCACCACGATCCATCTATTCGGTTCATACTGGGTGTAGGACAGCTAATGGAAGATCATTTCGGGATACTGACTACTCAGAGAAGTAAAGAATCACAAAAGGCGTACGAACATCTGGAAGAAATCGAGAGGAATATGAAGACATTCAGCACCACGATCCATCTATTCGGTTCATACGGGGTGTGGGAGAGGTGATGGAGGATCACTTTGGGACACTGAGTGAAGTAGAGTGTCACAAAAGACGTTCGACCATCTAGAAGAAATCGAGAGAAACATGAAGACATTCAGCTCCACGACCCATCTATTCGGTTCATACTGGGTGTAGGACAGCTAATGGAGGATCACTTCGGGATACTGACTACAGAGAGAAGTAAAGAGTCACAAAAGGCGTTCGAACATCTGGAAGAAATCGAGGGAAACATGAAGATATTCAGCTCCACGACCTTTCTAATCGCGGTTCATACAGGATGTAGAAAAGATAATAGTGTATCACTTTGGCATACTGAGAAAAGTAGAGTCACAAAAGGAGTGCGACCATCTAGAAGAAATCGAGAAAAACATCAAGACATTCAGCAACACAACCCGTCTAATCGGTTCATACAGGGTGTTGGAACATCTGGAAGAAATCGAGCGGAATATGACAGTTCATCGGGTGTAGGTGAGCTACTTACTAGAGGAAGAGGATCACTCAGAGATACTGAGTGAAGTGAAAAGTCACTCAAGTCAGTCAAAGTCCTCTTCTTGAAGATGATCGAATTGGAAAGAGGGTCAGTGCCAGAGACCGAATATAGTCTGGCATCTGAAATATGACCGAAGGAAAGATTGTGAGCCTAGAGCACAATAGGAATGTTGCAATCATCAACTCACTGTCAATTTGAAAACTAAATATCATCAAGAACTTTCAGAGTAGGAGTGTACTGAAATAAACTCAATACATAACATGAGTCGAATCGTATATAATTGCAATAGATTGATCGCGGTATATCACGTCACACGCTATCGTAAATTTTAATAATTATTTGCAAAATGAACATAGCTCTGAGAAGAAAACGGTTTGCGACAATGAGCAAGTTTGAGTTAGTACTTTAACATAATGAAACATAATAAAACTTTTCATTGAAACAAGCCCATTGTTAAGATACTCTAGGCTTCGAAGACTGAACCCCACTGAATTCTTTGGCTGATCGAACTATACGTATTGTACACCCGTCTTCAGTGAACATGTTCCGGTTGGACGGTTATATGAGCGCTCTTATTGCAGCCGTGATCAAGGGAGCTGACACCGTCCGTGGTCGATGTGCAACATGATCTCTGAAGACCCGTGTACATAAAATTACGAAAACACCGGATGGAGTTGGAGCCGGTGTGTTCAGCAAGAAACACCAAAAACTGAATATGTAAATCTTGAAAAGCATACTACAGAGTCCTTCAGGGTTAAAGTTTCGGCACTGAATTGTGTGCAAAGGACTTACAGACCTCTGGTAGATGATAATATTATTGCATCAGACAGCCAGGCTGCTCGCAAAAAGTTGGTATACTGAGATTCAGAATGATAAACTCCAAGCTTGTATGGAACTACATTGAATTCCTCTGGTGACTTGGTGCTAACAATAAAGTTACTTTGCTGTGGATGTCCGGGCACCAGGGAGTGAAAGACAAAGAGAAAGCCGAAAACGGAACCGAATCTGTGTTTATAGGAGGAGAACGATTCTTAATTTGTTCTGTTCTGCCTAATTCTTTGAATAAGACAACCATTCCGATCCTAGAATGGAGTAGGAACTTCCACCTAGGAAGGAGAAGTCTGAATCAAGAGCTACTGTACTCTAAAATGTTAATGATATACAGAAAGTATCTAGGTGTGTATTCTAATAATGAGTGGTTCGTTCTTTAGCCTAGCGGTTAGGCTAAACCCATGGGCTAAACACGTCCATAACATTTCCCAAGTTTCTAGTTACTTACTGGCAACTTGAACATGTCTTCTATTCTTTGCTGCGGCGTTTTTCCCCGCTTGGTCCTCAGTAGAAGATAAATATTCTTGAGGTCTGGACATGAGTACAGCAATTTTTCCACCATCACTTTTCCCATAAACCCACTACCACCGGTGATGAAAACCGATCGTCCTTTGTACCATTCTGACACCGGACTAGCGTTTTCAGGCATTTTCTGGAAAGCTGATTTTTGTTTCTGAAAAGAAAAATGCCTTTATCAAACCATTGCTATATATGAACAAACAAACTATTTAAAAATTAATTGTGTATTCATCTGTTCATTTTACATGGCGAACCAATGAAAGTTATTGTGACAGAAAAATAATTTTGACATGTACTGTATTATCTTTAAATAACACATCAGATACTCTAAATTTAGTCAACATATTTGACTCATACCATTATCACAGTGGTTATGAGTATGCAATTCTAACTTCATATTATAAATATATAGGTTGATAGGGATCATTGAAAATGAATGGAAATGAAATTATTTATTTATATATTTATTTATTTATTTATTTATTTATCAGAAACATACAGGTTACCCTAATTACATGTTTCTGCTTCTTACATATTTGAATCAGAATACAACATAACACTATTAGGTACTAATGGATTGAGAGGGGTTTGGTACAAAGACAATATTATTGTTCGGTTTTAATTTCTCTTCTGAATGATCGAAAACTTGACATGAATAGATCCAGATCATATTCGAGAATGTATTGATTGTATAATCGGCAAATGGAATCTAGAGCATTTGTGGTGTTGATCAGAAATGTAAGGAGTCTGGGACGCGTCCGATAATTGGGTACATATAAATTTATCTGATGTAGGAGTTCAGGTGAGTCTACTAGATTATTCATCAATTTATAGAGAAAAAGAAGACCGCGGTGGATTCTCCTGTACTCTAATTTTGTGATTTTCAGTTCAAGCCTTAACGGATGATATGAAATAAATCCAGGGCTGGCCTTGTATTTTTTGTAATATATATACTTGAGAAATTTATTTTTAAGTGTCTCTATTTGTTTGACATTTCCTTTGTTGAGATAGTTATTCCAAATCAAACATCCAAATTCGAGTTTGCTTCTAACCAGAGCATTATAGAGATATATAATAGATTCAACAGAGCTGAAGTTAAGAGTTGAGCGTTTTATAAAACCAACTGATTTGTATGCTCGGGAGAGAGCATTTCGGATGTGGGATTGAAAGCTAAGATTGGTAGAAAATATTATACCCAAATCAACCACTTCATTCACTCTTTCCAAAGCTATTTCCCATGGTGTATATGTAATGGCTTGGATTCTCATGTTGACTATATGTCATGATGAAACATTTATCAATATTGAAGTATAATTTATTACGCATGGACCAATCCTGTATTCTATCTATATCGTTCTGTAATTGAAAATAATCATTGAGATCATCAATTTTCGTGAAAATTTTGAGGTCATCTGCGAAGAGTAAACACTGTGACGAAATAGTGGAAGCTAAGTCATTTACGAATAATAGAAATTAAAATTAAATTAAATTATGGGTACTATTCGGAAACCAGTTCTCAATGTTATATAGAATACAATATAATTTGTGCCTTTTAAGAAAAAAACAACGCAAACTTAGACTTGATTTTAATTTGATAACATTATACTACGTTCTAGCTATGATGATATTTTTTGGTTTAAACTGCTTTTTAATTATGCATACTTCATTTAGATCTGTTTCATAGGTTCATTATATTGCAGTTTCGAAATGGTGACTTTGCTACAGTAATTAAAGCAAGAAAACGCCAGGCGTTTTACATTAAAATAAATTACTCCAATACCAATTACATTCAGCAAAAGCCATTTCTACGTACCAATTATAGTCCCTCATACCAATCATTTCAATTTATATGACTTGACGTGAATATGAAATAATTATTAAAGTAATTGGACAAATAATGTAGGTAAATGAACCGAATCAATATTACAAGGGAAGTCTCGTTTCCTCAAACAGGGTGTTAAATCAGTAAGTGGCAAGGGGTAATTTCCTTATAAGTACCAATTCAGCAAGGCACCATCTTTTGAATAATTGCAGTCTGGATCATATTGTGATGGAAACTTACTCACCACACCCCACATTTTCTGATAGAGTTCATGATTTGTTGTTATAGCAATCATTAATCACCAAATCTAACGGGATCATCTATATTTTGTTCAATAGAGATATTAATTTCCATTCCATATAGGTAGTCGATATATTCCAACTACTGTGTATTCAAGAAAATGACATTTCGCATGCAATCTTGACTGGGGATTGGACGATAAAAATACGAAACGTAATTTTCGTTGAACCGGAATACCACTAATGTCAGTTACATTGTTGAATGTTGATGAATAACGTAAATATTCACAGTCACCTTGGAGACCCCAGAAGGTAACTACCTTGAATTCATGAAAAAAAGTGAGGATGTTCGTATATGCAATAGCTTTCACTATCATTGTTGTTAGCAGACTAGCAAGTGTTTCAGCCGAAACGTTGTATTTATTTACATAAAATGTAGTTTTCGGCTTTGCTGAGAGTATATCGCAAATAAATTGATTATACTTTATATGTGTTAGTATAATCTTTGATCTGTGTATAAAAGATCTTAGATCTAATCACAATCATGTTATTTTGTGTGAAAGACAAAAGTTGCGTTTTATTGGTCCCATTTTGGTAGCGGTGGTGAGAACAGAATGACGTTTACAAATAAAACGCGAATCTTCATGACCTTGCATGGGAGAATTCACATAAGAGGTTATATTTATATATTGGGGCTCCAAATCAGTGATTGTGGTGATCGGAGAAACTTCTCTGATAGAGAGAATTAATTTTATCTGGGAATGAACATATGGAACCTGTCTTACTTCCATGAATCTTAAACTTATGTACCTCACGATGAAAATGACTTCGAAAAGTTTAGTTTTTCCTCAATATAATAAATGATGTCAAGATTGTCAAGAGTCATTACATGTCATTCCTTGTAGTGAAGTGATTCCGGTGGCGGAATCGGATAAATAAAACGCAACTTAAGAAGATAAAATGCATTAGCTAACATTCTGTTTTGTAGTATGCATGCCTGTCATCATTGGAAATAAATCAAAATTGGTCAAAATATTGATGGACTGTAAATGTGGAATTCATATTATTCATAATATTATAATAAGTATAATATCACAATGTTCTGAATATTCGAGATGGTAGACAGAATTATGAGGAGATATTCAGAACAGAGTGGTATAAACGTTTTTATCGTTTTCAAAATTTTATTCTGAGACACAAATGACCTGCTATGAATATGCATATGTATATGATATAGTCAAATAAACTATCTATCTATCTATCTATCTATTTTGCTAGACTATTTCACGAATCATTAGAGTCTTTTTAAGATAAATGAAAAAGCCATATACCCAAAGCGATTCATTCTGACATATATAGCTATAATTATTTAATGTCAAACTGACTTACTTTCCTTTGCTATCCATGCTAGTGTTTTCTCCAAAGGCATGTTCGCGTTCAGAATATAAACAGTCCGAAACTATCAGGAGCATGCGCAATTTCACAAAACAGTACACATTTTCTGTGGAACTGCGCATGCTTCTGATGGTTTCGGACTGTTTATTTTTCTAACGCGAACAAACCTGATACCTCAGGTTGTCTGGGGCTTACGATTGGTCAGATTATGAAATAGTCCAAAATATTTCTTAGTAATTGATCATCAAGGATATTTAACCCGTTAACGTTTAAGTTTCGAAAAAATCGATATTTTCGATTTGAATGCAGATTCCGGAAATTAAAATGGTAACAGTGAAACGGCGTGGTGTATTTTTGGTTGCCTATACCATGATCGTTAGTTAACAGAGAAATTGATCGTTAATAGGGGGTCATTAACGATCAATTCAATTTATCTACATTTATCAAACTGATACGAAGTCAACGGAAAATGTGTTTTTGTTAGTAAGGAGCCAGATTTTAATTGATAGACAGATAAAAAAATGCAATCATCAGAAATAAAAAAAATGCGCCACAGCCCGTATTGTTTCGTTCATGATCCAGTACTTTCAAATTGAAAGTTAGGTTTTTCGACGAGTATGGGCAGCTATACAGGGTGATTCAAAAGTAAGCGGCATTCTTCCAGGGGCGTATTTCACACATTAAGATAAAGCAAGAAGTTCCCTATTAATCTGAAAATGCTTCCTGAGGGAACTACGCCCCTTTGAATATGACACATCAAAGACGGTTTTCTCTCTGTAACTTTGAAATCCTACACAGTAAATGTTGTTTGGAAATTTCTAAATTCTAAAGTTTTACACGTAAAAAAGGTACTCTTAGTTCATTTCGACAGAGCGTAAATCACAATAACCTGAATAGAATTTTGGAATTCCGAATTGAGTTATACCATCAAATGTTTTTGGCGCACACCAATTTTCGAAATTGTATTGTGAAGGATTTTAAAGTTTTAGGGGAAAAATCATCTTTGAGGTGTCCTATTCAAAGAGGCGTAGCTCCATTAGGAAGTATTTTCGGACCCTTATCAATAGGAACTTTTTGCCTTATATTCATGCAAGGAATACGCTCCTGGAAGGATGCCGCTTACTTTTTTTTTTGCAATTGCATACCTCGTTGGTCCCAGCACTGGGATCAACCGATATATCTTTATGTATTCGATAGGACATCTAATTATTAAATGTTGCATTTTTATGTATTATTTTCGAAGTTTATCTTTAATTATTCATTTTTATTTAGGTATATATTGGTTTATCAAGAATCTTACAACATTGTCACTGAATAATTTGAGGACACCTAGTCCGACCCTGTTAATTATTGTCATCACACTTTGTTAACTTGTTCACTAATTCAGTAGTGCAATTTCAATTAAAATGTAAATATGTTTTTGCATCTATACGCATTATTACGTAAGGTTATGCATATATATTATGAGCACGGTCACAGTGAGTAGATAATGTCGTTGGTTGGATAAACTGTTACCTAGATTCTATTTCAGAGCAAATTAGGGCATGAAGTGCACTATGCTAGAATTTAGAAAGCTCAAGTAGGAATGTCACTTACGCAATGTCATTTTTTTCATCTGCAGATGAAATAAGTGCTCCTCAAATGGAATCAAGAAAATGTGTATAATAGTGTAACACTCATGAACGAGAGTAGGTATATACTTTTAAATATACCGTGCCCATGCAGAAATATCACAACAAATAATTGTTGTTTTGTCTCGCTCCATTGTGATTCTTATTCCTCCTTGGAGTTTACGGATTTTTTTTATTATACAGGGTGTCCCTCCGAGAACTTCATCGATCAATATATGGAAAACCATAGGTGGGCCGAATTTGAAAATTTGGGATTTCACTATTGTTGATAAATGCTATCCGGCTAAAATATTTTAAAGATTGTGGCACTTCCGGTTGTACCGGAAGTGGACCCCAACTTCATTATTTCGAATGGGACACCCTGTATATTATCAAGGTTTCAGATACTAGGTATGATTCTGAACATGTTTTATGTATAATGTCCTATACCCAAGTCTCTCCGTTTTCGAAATATTTCAAATTTTAAGTTGAAAATTGCGTTTGCGGACCGAAAAAAATTTTTTTTTCATTTCTGGACATGATCATTTATCTTCGATTGTATTTAGAATTGACAAAATATTTTGTTCAATAATATTTTTTTTAAAATCCAATAACTAAATTTCAAAACGAAGAGAATATAGCGAATAATTTCCTCAGTTGATTCAAGACTATTAGCTTGTATAAGCGTCATTAAAAATTCTAGGACAGCTTGATATAATTATGTAAACGGATGTTTTAGGTATTTTTCTACTCACATAACTAAAATGGCATTTATCGTACGGATATGTACCACGCTAAATGATCGATTAATCACGGATTGTCGATCTGTGATTTATTCAAAATATTAAACACGTTACCATGGCAACACGATTTCTTAAACACATCACCATGGCAACGCAGTTCATTAAACACACCTTCAATAATTCCAGACATGTCTGGCCTGTCAATTGTATTAACTGTCAACTGTTATCTTCATATTTTGTATCAGAATTATTCAAACAATATTCGTTTGTATCGGAATTCTTCATTAAAAATATAAATGCGAAAAGTAGACGAGAGTGAAATCGAAGAGAATGTTCAGGTACTTACGTACCTCCAAGAATTGTAAAAATGAAGCATCCATCTTTGAGAACAATTTATTTATTCAGCGCTAAGCATGACAATAAACGTGAAACAATGATTAGTAAGCAATGGACTGGACAGATCTACAACCAATATCACTTATACTTGTCTCGCTGGTTGCATGCAGTTGTATGTATTATGTTTTCAATTCCCATTCCTTTCGAATTATTTTGTAGGTTAGCAGGAATAGCAGGTATGTTAATTAATGTCATTTTTGGAGTTCGTAGAAAAATCATAGTATGTAACGCGTTTATAAACTCTTCTAGACACTCGTTTATTAAACACTCGCTCCGCTCTGCTCCGCTCGTGCTTAAACTACTCGTTACTAAAAGGACGTTTATAACACTTGTTACATAATATACTATTATATGTACACCCCAATTGAGGCGAGCGTAGGAAGGTTGAAAGAAACGCCACCTGGTAAATGCAACTGAATAATCATTAAACAAAATATTTGTTTGATATAATGTATCTGTGGATTCTGTTCACCAAAATAATCTGTTTGAAATAACAACATATTTCTTGATAATGATGTGTTGAAGCAACACAATGTTTTCATAATCAATTCAATGTTTTCGAATAGAAAAAAAACTTATGATTGGTTGCACAATCAAATGATTGTTGAATCAACAAAATATGATGTTGTACTTAGTGAAATCTTTGTCAAAATCAATTTAATTTTGTCAAATAGACAAGATGCATATAAACAAAATTTGTTTTATGTCAAGTATAAATGTTGTTAAATGAAATGAAACTTTTGTTCAAGTAAGCATATATTTCAATCAAATTATTTTGTCTCTTTGAATAAGTCGCTTATTTGGAATGAACATATATTTTATCGATTTAGCAAAAATTGTGTTCGATTTAACAAAAAAAGAGACAAAAATCGTTTGTTGGTTCAACAAAACTTTTTTCCGCGTAGATATGGAAAACCCTCATTGGCTCTGACTACAGTTATTCGGCGGGTATCTCCCATATCATTTTCTTAAAATGTACCAACATGTATTTTTATTTTCCACAATTCGATTGCCTAAGTATCTGTGAGA